CTCCTCCCTCCATCATTCTGCATGTTCTACCACTCATGTCGGCTACAAATAGCATTGAACTTCCGCATTTCGCACCGGGTGTATAGCTCAGTGGTAGAGCAATCGACTGCAGATCGATAGGTCCCCAGTTCGAACCTGGGTGCGCCCTTGGTCAAATCTTTTTGCCACCATGCTTTCCGGGCCGCTTTTACTAAAAGCCTCGGTACTTCTTTTCGTACTGAGAGTCAGTGTGAGGACAATCGGATCGGACTCAGGAGAGCAGAGGAGGCTTCCGGGCCGGGCCTCAGACACGCCGCGCCCCGATCAGTGGCAACTTCAATGTTGCAGTGACTCAGTAACTTGCCAAGTTAAGTTACGGTAGTACGGACGGTTACGGACTTGCCGCACTGAGTCACTTTTAGTAAGGGCTGCGCGCACTGGGATCGACTCGGACCCCCGCAGTCACGGTCCGATTCACAGTATTATGGTAGTGCTGACTGAGGAGTCAGTGCCCCGGCCGCGCGGCGAGTCGGAGGAAGACATGCTAAGGCACGGCCGGGCACTGCCGTCTGCGGGGCCGCTGCTCACAACAGCGAACGGACCAGGACTCCCCGGACCCTCGAAAAGAACTATTGCACAGGGGGGTGCTGATAGCACTGCCAAGGGGGACATTGGGCATGGCCCATCTGATCAGTCGGGCCAGCCTCCGGGAAAAAAAAGCATGTCGACGTGTATCAGCGGTAAAGGATACAAACCGTGAACAAATACGATATAAACTGATGATATTTTTAGACAGATATTACTCAAAAGTAAAAAGGTTGCCGCGGATACCAGGAGGGGTGGGGTAATCAAAATGATCATTTCCCCTAGATTGGCCTGGTGGGGTAGTTGGGCACAGGCGAGACTGACCAGTAGTAAAGAGGGGAATGACTGCTCATACCGCACGAAACATGGACCCCGGCAGGGTAGTGATGGGGGGTTGGTACCTGGTAAATACCCGTGTATTGTTGTATATAACATAGGCTAAAGGATAGGGTGGGTACTGGCTCATGTCAAGGTGGAGGGTGATTGGGAAGGATTTTATGGGGGTTGGAAGCTGGTACTATTTGCCCCCCGGTTGCTGACAGTAAAAAAGAGATGGCCCCTTCTTAACTCTGTCATCACTCCATGAAGATCTAAGGGATATGGGAGATCTCAACGGTTCATTGATTACCGGTCGTAATGAAGAATCGAAAAAAGTACGAAAACTGTACTTTTGAAAATCGAAAGGTAAGGATTCGGAAAGCAACCCTAAAAGACGTCGATCTGTAAGAGCTAGGGTCTCTTAAAACTGGAAAGACTCTTCTTCGAATCCATTGCTGACTCACCCGCCCTCCGTAGGAGATGCTTAAAGGAAAGGGAAATCCTCCTGCTCTCTCACTCCCACAGCCCGTTCCCACGGCAGCAACAGTAGTGTTCTCCTACACACAAGCCCCTCCCCCCCCTCCTCTGTAAGCCCCTCTCCCTTCCCCCCTCCTCTCAGTGATTCAATCTCTTGCAAGAAGAATCACTGCAGCCGCTATTTCCAAATCCCATCTGCCCGTTCCCTCAGTCCTCCGCCCATTACAAACGATCAATATTCGCAGAACCCTCAGACCTCAAGTCGTGGTATGCACGCTGGTTTCGATATGGTTTCTGACTCGATGTTAAGAGAGGGAGAAGCTGGTTTCTCCCTAATGAGTCGTCAGCTGAAAGGAGAAAAGCCCTCAAGGCTGGAAGGACAAGACGAGTTTCCTTCAGAAAAGGATTTCGTGGATTCTTCTTGCCCTGTTCTGAGCGAGAGCCTAGCGATTGAAGAGCTGACTGATCGCTTCCATGCGGCGATCTCGTCGGATACAAGACATCAACGCAAGTCGATCGACCGATGGGGGAACTTAGTTCCAAGTGGAGGATATTCCCCGTTTCTCCTCTCCAACCAGCATGTCTCTGTAAGGTCGATCGATCGATATGGAAACTTTAGGGTCAATTGATTTCTAAGCTTTATTTTTATTGTTTTACTGCAATATTCTTTGCACGCTGTACACTACATTTAATGTGAATAAAACATATGATCGATATCTTTGAAGTGGCTGCCTTTCTTACAAACTGATCAGATTTTGAGTAGTTCTGCTTTCGCACTGAGGAGTTGACAGTGGTAGAGTACACTGTAGCTGCCGAGTGCAAGCAAAAACCAGCAATCAACCACGACATCGGTAAAGCAACGTGGCCGGGCTGATCATTCCAAGTTCCTTCAAGTATGGGCTCCGACACGCCCGAGCCTTTCTGACTCGGAGTCATTGTGCCCTAACGAGTCCGACTGCCCAGTCACCGGGAGCCGGACTAGCTTCGAGGCAGTGGCCCAGTCTCCGAACTTCAGGCCTCACGCTATAGCCTACTGAGCTGCATTGGCGAAGCGTGCAGTGCGGCCGCGTGACTCAGCGGACCGGGACGGACAGAGCCGGAACTTAGTTCCGAAATCACATGATCACTGCGGCTGCCGCGTGCCGGGCACTGCAAACTTGGCACTACGGCACTGGCGCAGCGGATCGGACTGCGCGGCGGTGCCGCGGGCAGCGGCAGTGTCCGAACTTACCGTACTGCCGGGAAGGCTTCCAAGTTCGGAAGCTGAGCCGCCCAGGCTTGTCCGTCTCGGCAGTGACGGCTGTCGGACGGTCACGCCGGCAGCACTGCGTCACTGAGTGGCAGGCCGCCCGTACTGGCGGCGCCGCGGGCCGGCCGGGGCCGGCGGCTGCCGCCGAGGCTCACCGTGTGTCAGCGGCCTGTACGGTGCCGGAGCCGCGCGGCCCGGCGGGCGCCGCTTTTGCCAAGTTTGTCCGGTGCTGATCGGAGACTGACCATCCGACCGTCCGGGTGCCACTGACTCGTGACCGTACGGTCCGATCTCTGAGTCTCCAAGTTTGCCGAATCAGAGTCGAGTCGCCGGCCCCCGATCCCGGGGGCCGGGCCGGTCCGGCGGTGACCGTCTGCCACCCGGTGACCGGCAGGTAGTACGGTACGGTAGCCTGGCAGTCACGGTGCCAAGTTCACTCCGGTCGCCCGGAAGTTCGGATCAGCCGCGGGTTCCGATCATCGGATGATCGGATCGCGGACTCCGGCGGGATATCCGGCGGCACATTCCGATTTCGAGGCAACTGGTCGGCCGGGCGGCCGCTGCCGGGACTCCCCGGACTCGGAGCCCCCGCGGCGGCGGCCGCCGGGGGCGGCCCGGGCCTGCCGCATTATCCCCCACCGTTTGGTATCTCGATTTTGTTTTTTATTTTCTGTCTCGAAAATATGTAGTTTCGCTTCCTCGCTTTTAAATCTCTTTTACTGTATGTCAGCATTTGAGCTGGTCCGCCTCAGTAGCTGCTCTTACACAAGATTCGCAATCCATGGCATATGATTGTTCACCCAGATCACTTTCTTTACTGCGCAACATAACCTTAGATGTTCCACTGTGTATCAAGTCTCCCTTTTGCTGTCAGTACCGTCAGGCTGCAACAGGGGATCGATCGACTGGTTGTGAAAGAAAATAAACTATCCCTCCCATCATGTATCTGAAAACAAGCATCCTCTGCGACCCGGTTCAGGTCCACTGAGGGTATCTTTCCATACAGCGACTTTAGACATGGCTCAAAGAGGCATATATTGCCCAAAAAAATCTCTGTCAACGGGCAGGATCAGCTAGAGCTCGATACGCATCGAGTTCAGCCATGGAGCATGTATCTGATGCTGAAGAGAAGAGCTAGGTGGGTCTAGTCTAGATGTCGTCAACGTCGACGTCGCTTTCGTCGTCCTCATCTGGAGAGCCTGAGCCAGCCCCTGTCCTTCCATCACCCAACATAGCAGTGGAAGGGCATCCCTTACCGTTAACGGGTGCATCCTCTTCCTTGGTCTCGTCCGCCTGCCAAGCAAGTCAGCCCATTCCGAGCACACAAAGCTCCGTCTTCACCTTCTTCGCCATGAGGCCTTCCATCTTGGCTGTGATGGCGTCGGGGTCGGAGCTCTTGGACCCCATGAGGGCAGCCTGCCTAGCAGCTACAGCAGCTTCTGAGGTGTCATCGCCCCAGTCATTGTCCCAGTCGTCTTCATCTTCCTCCTTCTTCTTGTCCTTCTTCTTCCTGCAAATTGCATTGAGAAATTCTATGATAGGGATCAACTATCAGATCACTTCTTTTTCTTCTTCTCTCCGTCCTGTGCATGGTATGTTACGGGGCGCGAACTGGAAGCGAGAAGAAGTCACCTCTCCAGTCGGCGAATCTTCGTCATCGGCGTCTTTGTCTTTTTTCTTCTTCCTATGTATCTTGTTAGAAGTGAACATAAGGTATATCTTTATCTCAATCACTTCTTCTTCTCCTTCTTGTCCTCGTCATCATCCCCTTCGTCCTGATTACAGAGCATGAGATTGACGACCAATCCAAGCATTCCATCACCTCGCTGTCCTTTTCCTTGTCCTTTTTCTTCCTACAGGCATATCGTCACGAGGAGAGAGGGCGAGTGAAGAGGAATGAAAATCTACTTCTTCTTCTTTTCAGCCTTTTCATCGTCTTCCTCCGCACTCTTGCTGCATTGCGCATCAGATGTCTCTTGCTAGAATGGGAGACGTTCACCTCTTCTTCTTCTTCTTCTGAGCCTCATCCAGCGCAGTCGCCTCGGAGAGAGCAGCACCGACAGCCCCTGTACGAGATCTAAGTTCAGCGCTCCAACCCCCGACTCGCTCCGGAGCCTGTACCTGCTGCGGACTTGGCATGTCCGTAGTTTGCATCATCAGGGGGATGGAGGATCTGACTTCATGTGAGAAGCAGGATGCGCCCCGAAGTACTTGGTCTACCATGTACTTCACGAAGCGATCAGTGTGGTCGAGATCAGTCCGGCCGCCACATCCCTTGCACGTGAGGAAAAGAATTTTGCTGTGCCACGTCAAATCAGAACATCCATCAGCAGGCTCAACTAGGCATACTTCTTCTTGTTCCCCTCGATGTTGCAGGTTGTCTCAGGGTTCTTGCAGTTTTGGCAAGTGACAGTCTCCCGAATAAACTTGAAGACAAGTTCTTGAACCTATCCCACGCTGTTGATAGGTTGGAGGGCGACGTGAAAGTCACTATACCTTCCTTTCTTCAAAAGATCCTGAGACGTACGCCTTTCCAGTGTCCTGTTCAGAAGAGCAAAAATCAGATACAAGCAGGCAAAAACAAGCATCTACCTTCTCAATCTTGCTGTTTGCACTGAGCTCTTGGCCGAGGAAAGTGAGGAGGTAGTCAGGAGGGCGACCGATGGCACGGCACACGTCCTCGATGTTGATCAGCACAGACTTGATCATCTTGGTCGTGCCCTCAACCTTCACCTGCGAACGGGGAGGGATCAATGAAGCATTTATCCAGAAAGATGTCAAACAGACCTGGATGCAAGGCATCGTGTACCTGTAATAAGGGTCCTGGGACCCGTTCATGTTCACTCGCTTGCATTCACTGGATTTTGTCAACGATTCGGCAATGCAAATAGAAAACAAATCACCGAGACATCTTTGCAGATTCGTATGACCTCTATGAAACTATGGTACGATCTTCAATTCGCAATAAAGGCTTTAAAAGCGTAATGGTCCTAAATGAATGCTGTGTGGGGGGGACGTTTTCGTCTCGATATGTGTAGCCTAAAGTCGTGAAAGTCTCAACGACAAAACTATGCAGATCCATATCATCACCTCTTATTTCGATCTATATGTGCCCACGCATCCGCTGTGCGGGGAGAAAATAGCAGTCTTGATGGGGGAATCGGCCTGGGAGCAAACAGTTATCCGAGCAGGTTCGGGGAAGGTCAAGGTCACGTTGTAGAAGCGAAAGTTGACGGGGATGGCGTGTGTAGAAAGAGTAGTAGTGCTCAAAGAGAGCACGCGCTGGATGAAGCAGTCGTCACGTCGTCAGCACAAGACACTGCAGTGCGTACGGGCAGCACGGCAAGAGTTGTCGAAGGGGTGAATGCAGAGGCTGCAATGAGTCATGTCAGATCAGAACAATAACTGATAATCAAATGAGCTTGACGATCTCTTGAAATTGGATTCAACAGCATACAAGCAATACACATGAAAATACAGAAAAGGTGTAATGTTACGTGCTCGGTGAACAAATTTTGATCAGAAACATGTCCCCTCAAAGTAATCTGAAGCTCAATTTTGCAGGCTGTATGATCATCATCACCCCGTGCGTTTGAATTTGACAAATTCACAATGGGGATTCACAACGGAGCTGCTGAAATGCTACTGAATTGCCAGCAAAGTCTGCTGATGACATGCATACTAATCTGCACGAATCTAAGAGAAACATCTAGGCACGTTGGCGTAAAGACTTGAGTCTCTACTTGTCAGGCTACAAGCATGTGCTTTAGTCTGAGATTTCTAATTGATGATTGCCACACTGTTGTGATCCATTCCCAAATGCTGGACCATCCATATCGTATATAGTTGCAAGTCACAATCATCAGAAACATGTGCAGACATGAAACGAGCATGTCATAAACTTCATTCCTGTGCATTGATACGATTGTTCGCAACTTTTTCCTCTTTCATCTCAACATCTTTTCCTCGCATGATTTATTTCTGCCCAACCATCTTCTGCCAGCAAAACGCGTGATAACCACCCACCTACCCCCCTACCCCTCATACCACCAACTTCCAACGAGTACCCCACCATTGTCCAATAATACCAAGGGGTTCAACCCTACCTATTTGTAACAGCCCACCCCATGGGAAGAACCGTACCCTACCTATATGGCATATATGACCTTCTGTCCCTACCCCCCTGCAGTACATCATCCACCAGACCACTGATAGCAAACTTTGGGGGCTGAAGGCCCTTCATGAATGGAGTAGTACCGGTCATCACCACCTACCCGTAAGGTTGGTGGAGAGACTACCCTATAGTATGTACCCCACCCCTCAAATTGACACCCCACCCATCTCAATAAAAAGTACCCCTCCTTATCCCACTCTTTCGTGCGAAACTAAATAGATCGGATGGACTTTTCAAACCATTGAGGAGCTATCCCTGTACTACCGGTCCATTTTCCACTGTATGAAGTCTAAAGGTGGGTGGGTACATGAGTTGCAAAGAGCAAGTACCACATACGACAAGCATCCAAAAAATAGTGAGCCTAAAAGGGGGGTGGGGACTCTAAATATGACGGGTATCAATCAAAATGGTAGTATGAGAAGGGTGTGGGGGTATGAAGTCATGGGAAAGACCCACCTTTTGAACCTGTGAATTTGGGGTCAATAGAGGAAATGATCCATTTTGAAGGGGTAGGGGTGATAAAAGATGGGGTCAGCACACCATGGGTGGGTGGAGGGAGATGGTGGCCAAGAAAGTTTGTTTGAACCATGTTGAAACATTTCCTCGAAATAGAGCCACACTCCTGTGAAACTTTTTAAAGTCCGAGCCCTCCGAGGCTCCGCTCACCGTGGCACCGTGACGGGCCCCCGGCTGGGCCGCCCCGGTCGACCGTCGGTCGCCAGTCACTCCGCCCGGCCACGGTGCGCCGGCCGGGCGGAGGCCGCCCTCCCGACTCAGTCCCGGAGACGGTCCGACCGTACGCGGCGGCGACCGGCCCGAGCCTCCGAGCCTCCCCGGCCATCGGCCACCCGGCCGCGCCGGCCGGGCCGGTCGGAGCGGTCACTGGCCCAGTTCCGAGTGATCGGCCGCCAGCCCTCACTGGCCGGCCTGAGTGTGAATGGTGCCCGGCGCCGCGACTCTCAAAGTGACCGTCCCAGGCTGTGACCGGGCCCCGCGGGCGCCGCACTGGCCGGGCCGCGCCACTGGGGCGGGCCCACCGTGGCACCGGGCCGGGGGTGCCGCCCCGGGCCCGCGGCCCCCGGCGTACGGTGGCACCTCACCGTGACTACTATTCTAAGAACCAGTTGTGCTAGAAGGAAAAGCATTGAAAGGAGAGGCTGCCGGGTAGAAAGGATGTACAATTGTAGAGATAGGAAGAGAGTTTGTTTTCCCTGACACTGTTCAGATCTTGCGATGAGTCTTGTATCATGAACTGACAAGGATGCTGCAAGAAATGAAGGCGACGGAGGTCAAAACTCTGTGCATGAAGCGATGCGGCTGGCTGATGAAATCCGGGCTGACAAACACGCAAATGAAAAGAGGTGACTTGTATTGACTGGCCCAGTGGTGGGAGGAGGAAGAGCCTTCTGACGTCATGCCAGGTGGTGTGCGATCTACGAGCTGAAGCTCCTCTACTATGAGTCGCCTAGGGTAGGATGATGTGTTGTTGTTCTCCGAGGCCCCAGTGACCTCCTCCTTCACTTCATCGCTCCTCCAAGCACGGTACCCTGAGGCGGTAGTCGGAGACACATACCGCCGCGTTCCGACTGGCGGCCGCGACTGAACCTGGCGGTATCCGTTGCTCAGAGTCGGCGCACTGCAGCCAGGGTCGCCGGAGTACGCGCACTCGTGGCGCCGCCCGTCACCGGTTCGCCGCTGAGTCATTATTCATCCAAGGAAAAAAGGAAAGAGTCTTTATGACTTTAATGATTGTACAACGAATAGGTAAGCTACTCAGAATTTTGCAAAAGAATCAATCACACATCGATTTCGCACTAACCTTGTGATCCAGCTTTCAAAATTTCCAGGTCACTAGCAATAGATCTCAAACGGTTGCAATGTGGCTCGGGAGCAGTCACCCAGTCAGTCCGCGATCACAATCCTGGGCCAGAGCAGCCGATTCGATCAACGCAATCATGTAGACCGGAAGTTTCCATGGTCGTCTATTGTTGCTTCCAAGCTGTCTTGCGAGTCTTTGAAGAATCTATAGCATCCAGCACACTCAACATTGCCTTGCGAGTCAATGGCCTTCGAGTTCAGTCTTGAACAGTGACTGCAGATTTTCTTTGGACTGTCCGACGATGACGGGCACGCATTTGCTGGCAGCTCACTCCAAAACATTTGCATTAGGTCGTCTGACGCAGCTTGGCATGAGTCGGATCCTGATGAGTTTCGTGATAGTTCCAAGTGAGTGAAATCAGTATGCAGCTGCTCGATCTTCTTTTGGAACGCCATACTACTGTAAACCGGTTCGGGGAAACACATCCTTTACCCTTTTGAAGAGGAGAGTTTCCGACGCTGCTGCTACTTTGTCCAGGGCGTTCTGATCCAGCGTAGCGGAAAGGCTGGAACACGAAAGCAGGGAGAGATGCAGCTGGCAAATCTCGATGTGATTGGCGTGAAGATGATAGGTACGTATGGGGTACGGAATGAAAGGGAAAGAGCAGGAGGAGGAGGGGGGGGGAGGGGGGGGCGTGCGGGAGCAGGACAGTGTGGAGGAGAGAATGGAGGATCTTTGAGCAGGCTGGTGGGAGTGGCCGCTGGTTTTTTAGGGGGACGCAAGGCGGAGTGTGCAGAGTAGAGCTGGGATTATCCCTGCAGAGGCCTCAGGATAGATGTGTAGCCTTTGGCAATAGGAGCTCAATCGAATGATCTGCTGTCTTAAGGGGGTAGGTGTTTGGGTTCTTCCCCGCCAAAGATCAAAAATAGCAAGAGTGCAGGAGTATGGGACGGAAGGGGGGTGGGTTATTTTTTTTTTCCTGCTCTGGGTACCTAGCTGGGGGGTGGGTACTGCGCACGCGTGAGAGATTGCTAAGAAGGTAGGTGTGCCGTTTGGTATTGAGATGTACTTATGCTTTTCTCATTCATCACATCTGAATACGAGAATGCCATAAGGGCCAGTAGTGTCCACCTACCCGTGGTCGTCCACACGCCAATCCCTGCTAGGTCATCCCAAAAACAAAGTCGAAATCTTCGGCTAAATGCAAGGGCCACTGACCTTGCCATTTTACACTAGTGATCCACTTAGATAAAGTCGATAGCGAGTCGGCCATGGAGAAGTGCTCGAATCCCGATTACAAAAGGGCGGATCAGGTGGTGACACGAAGAGAGCCAAAATTACATCGTTTCGAAGTCAGCTGTCAGCAGCCTCTGAGGCTTACACTGTTCTTCCAAAAATGATATTTTACTCAAGAGTCATCAGGTCCATTTTTGCTTTTTTTGAATTTTCATTTCAGTCGGACTCCGGAGCACGGCACCCGGCAGGCCGTGTGACCGGGCCGAGGCCGCTGGCACTCAAAAAAGTGCCTGAGAAGTCAACCAGGTTTTACTACTCGGTCACCGCTTCTGTCACTACTACATACGGTGAGGAGGGGGTACTAGTCCCTGAGAACCAGGGGTGGTTGCCACCCGATGAGAAGGGCCGCACTCCGAAATGCGATGACTGTGGTAGTGGCTGCGATGCCGGCGCGGCTGTGGGGGAGGAAGCTGGAGAAGGAGCCTGGGGAGAGGCTGAACTGATAGCTCAGCTGGTAGAGTGAGGTGATAGCAGCATGCTCGGTTGATCCTGTCAGGCTCCTCCTTCAGGGGACTGTACGGTTTCTGCCCCAAGCCTTGAAGAACTTATCCCAGAGCCGCTCTCAGTTGCGCTTCAATGATCATGGCGGAATCGAGAACCTGGTGACCGCGGCAATGCAGGAGAATATGTTGAGGGATGCGATCATGGCATGGCAGAGCTCGAGGATTTTTCTTAGACCCTCGTGATGCCGATAGGGCTGCCATGGAGCCTCGGAGGGCAGTTACCGTAGTACTGGGCAGTTACTGGCAGCAAGGAGAATGGAGCCTTGGCTGATTGCAGCGCTCGATTGGCTGGGGGCCTCGGACTCGGGAGGCTGAGATAGTTCGATGATAGCTGGAAGGCAGATAAGCAGACGTGGTTGGAAGAAGCTACCAGCTATGAGAGGCCCAAGTCAGGAGTATGTGCATAGTTATGTCATGTGTTGAACGTTGCAATGAGGAGTTGTGTGGAGATTGAGATGTGCATGCAGACTTGTATGGTGAGGAGAGAATCTTTCAGTGGTGGGTGAGAGCAAACTGTTTTGCTTCTGAAATTTGTTGTGTTGGGAACGTGCGGGAGTGCATGTTTTCCATCAGAATGACATCATCTTTGTTGCATCAATGGATCCGTGATTTGTAGTGTGGTAACGTTTTGGTAGTTTTGCTTTTGCAGCAAGCATGCGCAGCTAGATAGGCAGTTGCTGACCCTGATATGCTGGACAGAAACATGTCGGATAGCAAACAATAGCTCACGCACGGTGCGGCTGAAGAAGACCATCGTCTCCACATGATTCATCCTGTGCTGGAGTATTTGTCAGCTCTTGGAAGACATGTCTTGTTGCACGTTTGATTGCTTTCAGAGCAACGACGAGTCTCAGAGCAACGACGAGTTCAAGGATGCTCAAGAACCAACACAGACCTCACTTAGCGAGTACTCGAGGACTGTGGAATCATTATCCCCCCAGGTCCAGAACAGCTTTGCGAGCAGGGAAGTAGCGGACTCGCCTTTTGAGATCTCCTTCCAAGGGAACCAGGGTAGCATACAAGACTGGAAGACGCCGGATGAAACAAGGATAGAGAATCGCTCAGAAGATGAAGAGACGCTCCTTCCCTTTTCCAATCAGCATGTCCTCCTTCCTACCGCATGCGAGATCTACCGGCTTCATGGTAGAGTACCACCCATGTGTAACCCTGAGGTGTCTGCTCTGACTGTATGCGCGCAGACGGCGGGTTTGTGCAATTGACTCGCCAATACCTTGAGCAGCAGAGGTGCTGGGAAATGTATCTTAAAGTGCAGCCGCTGACTGTAATGCAAAGCAGCTTGTCCAAGTACAAGGCTATAACATCTGTCGGAAAGTACTCGCTTGCTGCTCTGCACAATGATCAGTTTGTTCCAAGTCACCACCGGCTGATCACGTTACAAGACATTGGGAGTGGTAGGATATCGAGCAATCACACACTGATTGTTGAGTTTTGCTATCAGGGGTTTCAAAGGGCGACTTATTTGTGCTAATTGATGGCGGTAAAGGATCCATTTCCTTTGAGGACCTGGACATGCTCCAGGAAAGAATCAAAGATGTTTTCAATCGTTTGCCTGAGAGCGAGGGATTGTACGATATGATCCAGGTATGCAGGAAGGTAGAACACTGCAACACTGATGTAAGTTTGGCAATCAGTTTGTGTTCTCTCAGTTGAGTCTAGAGATGGTCTACTTTGGCCTTGAAAGCAAGATGGAATATGGCATAATTGTTTGCTACAACGTCCAGCAAGAGGTGTTTTGTATGCAGAGAGGAAGCTTGCACGCTTACGTAGCGAGCGAATGGTATGCCACCGCAGACATGCTGGACTGATCAGTGACGAGCAAACGAACAGGAGGGACTCGATGATCCTTCAGGAGATGTGCTGCTGCGATCGCTCCCATCAAGACATGAGGTGATGACCAGGGAGGTTGACTAGAGATGGTAGTTGTTTGACTTGTGCGATCAGCTGTCAAACCAATGGTCTCTTCCATGAAGAGCCGGTGTCCTGCTTGACGGTGACATCTCAAGATTTGTTCCTGGTGACCGTTTGCTGTGCTCCTCTTGTCTTGTCTCACTGCCATGGCAGCTGATCGCGTCGCCGAGCGTGTGGGCTAAGATCAGCCAAGACGAGGCCATGGAGATCGTCCGCTCGCACTCGAGCGCACAGAGTGCAAGCTGGGAACTTGTCAGCGAGGCGAGGAGGTGAGAGGAGGAGAAGCTCGAGTGGCAGTGCGTGAGAGAGGAAGGGAGGTTCCATTGCTGTTGCATACGAGCACTGTCTGAAAGTGAGAGCTTCTGACGAGCTGGGAACAGGAGGGCGTGTCTGACTGCCCTGATGACTAACCCTCAATCTGTTGCCTGCGACGACATGTCGGCGGTCGTTGTTTGCTTCTCCTCTAGCTCGAAGTTGCACTCCCCGCAAAGAACAAAGAGCCCCTTCCCTCGATCTGCCAGCGGTCTGCTGCCATCAACCCCTCCTTGTGCTCGACCTCCTGCCCCTGCTCCTGTTGCTTCCTCTGCTGCTGCCCCTGTTCATCCTTCTCCTTTCCAGCTCCAGCTCTAGCTCTAGCTCTAGCTCGTACTCTACTTGCACCCCTGCTTCTTCTTGTCCTTCTCCATCATCTTCATGGGGACCAGCCAGCTCTCGACGTCTGACAGGCCCTGCAGGCAAGAGCTGGAGGAAGGCAGTTGATGTCCCTTCGGACGTGGTCTCGAAGAATTTCGAGAACTGGATGAAGACCGAGGAGTCGAGGATGCTTGCGGCCGCTGAGCGAAGACATATGGTCGGCTCTTCTCACTCTCGTCGTTTCTGCTCTTCTCCTGCTCTCCTGCTCTCCTCGTCATCTCCTGCTTTCCTCCTTTTCTCCCCTCCCCATTTCCCCTCTTCTTATTTTCTCTTGTCCTCTGCACTTCTCTGCACTTCTCTTCTCTTCTCTTCTCTTCTCTTCTTTTCTCTTTCTATTCTTCTCTAGTACTCTCCTTCTCTCCTCTTTCTTTTCCCCTCCATCCTGGCTCATGCTGAGCGCAGGATTCAATGAGCAGCTCGATGGAGGACGAGTCCCCGTCACAGTCCGCTTCTTTCCCTGTGCCAGGACTCAAAGGAGCCATCGAAACCCTGAAGCAGGTACTCGATTGCAGTTTTACTTCTTCGTTATCCTCCTCCTGCTCCATCTCGCTCTCCCATCCTCTTTCTTCCCTCTTTTATCCTCCCTCTTCCCATCCCACTCCTCCACCTCCTGCTCTTTCCTGCTCCTTCCTCCTCATTTCTCCTCCTCGTCCTCTACTACTATAATCGTCATCATCCTCTCCATCATCATCATCCTCTCCATCATCATCCTCTCTATCATCATCATCAACAACATCATGAACATCATCATCATCATCATCATCAACAACAACAACAACATCATCATCATCATCATCATCATCATCATCATCATCAACAACAACAACAACATCATCATCATCATCATCATCATCATCATCAACTCCTCGTCAGTGTCAAATAATGTCAATCTATGTTATCCTGCGCTGCCTCACTACGAGCTCTCAGCGAGCTCCATCCGTTCGGAGAAACCTATTGGGCGGGAGACATTCGAGCCTGTCGGAGACAGCTAGGTGAATTTCCTGCTCCTGCTCCTGCTCCTGCTCCTGCTCCTGCTCCTGCTCCTGCTCCTGCTCCTGCTCCTGCTCCTGCTCCTCCTTTTCCTTCTCCTGCTCCTCCTCCACCACTACCTGCTTCTTCTCCTGCTTCCTCACCTGCTGCTCTTTCTCCTCCTCTGCCTGCGCTTTGTTCACCATTATCGCCACCTGCCCCCATCCCTCCTCCTCACGTGCCTCTCAGCATGTCATCATCTCGTCGAGGATACAGCTTGGAGAGGGAAGCGCCGCTCTCCCCCATGTCCTTCTCCTCTCAAGGGTCACATGCAGACCAGGAGGAAGCAGTCGTTGTCACGTTCTGAGCTCCTTCTTTCACGCAACGCTGCTATCTCTTCCCTGCCCTCCCTCCATTCCTCCTCTCCCTCAATCCCTCATCTGCCTTCCTCCTCTACCTCCTTCCTTCCTCCCTTTCCTCTTCCTCCTCCCTCCCTTCACGCCTTTTCTGCTCAGGCATCCCCTCTCCCCCAAATCCTTTCCCCAACCTCTGTCAATGTCATGGTTTGCATCCCTCCTTCTCCTCCTCCTTTCCTTCCTCCTCCTCCGTTCCTCCCCCGCCTTCCTCCTCCTTCCCTCATCTTTCTTCACCTCCCCTTCATATCCTTATCCGACTTCTCCTCATCCTTCAGCTCAGTCTTCTTCTTTTGTTGTTTTACGAGGAAACTCAAACTGTCGTGATGTCGAACCCAGCACAAGGGTAGGGCAACTCCAACTCATCGCAGCTCTCCCACTCGTCCTTTCCCTTGTCGTAGTACTCCGAGCTTGACAGGCAGACCTCTCGTGCTTTTGTGTTCCTTTCTCCTTCCCCTCCTGCTTTCCCTTCCCCATCTCCTCCTCCTGCTTCTCCCCCGCCCTCTCCTACCTCCTGCATTTTTTCTGCCAAGCTCTGTCGATCCTATTTAACAAGGTTACACCATCCATGCGCCTTAGGAAGAGAGAGGAAGAGAGAAGAAGGAGAAGCAGCGGCAGGAGAAGGAGAAGGAGGAGAAGGAGGAGAGGAGAGGAGAGGAGGAGAGGAGGGGGGGGGGAAGGGAGAAATACGACGAGGGGGGGAGCACGGGGGGGAAGGCGAGGCGCGGACCAGGTAAGGGTAGGTGGGGATAGGTGAGTCAAACCGAGAACATCAACCGCAAAAAATGGGACCACCCAGAACATTCTTCTGCTGCAACATATGGAACACGTATGAAATATATGAATGCAGAC